AACGAAAAGCGAGTAGAAGTTAGTGTTATTGTAAATGAAGTAATTGTTGCAGTCGACAAAAAGTCGCTTCTGCAAATTCAAAGCACCGTATATATATAATAGATATGTAAATGTTTGTTAAATATTTATTATACAGTAAATATTTTAACTTCTTTGGCTAAAGTCTAGATGCGTAATTTGTATTCAATAAAAAGTAAAATCATTAAAATATTTTTAGGAAATAAATTTTACGGAATTTTAGTGTAGAAGAGCTTGAAAACTATATGAAATTTTAAAATGCCCCCTTTAATCACACTTCAAGAAATAATACCAACTCTGTTTGCTTGTTCTTATTAATCACACTTCACAATCTCAAATCAACAATTAATTACGCACACTCCGCTATGCCGCCAGCGAGAGCTGCTCAAAACTCTTTTATCAATGCACTTGCCACAGATTCAACTTGGATCAGTGAAACAAAGAAAATTAAGAAGAGGAAGAAAAAGAAAAAAATTTATAAGAACATAAATTTAGTGTTGAGCGATAAGAAAGCATTTCAATGCTACTGAAAGTGATCAATATTTACACTTCTGTCTAGTTGATCATCTACATATGTACACACATACCTACATTCATATAAAAGTATATTAATGAATGCACTTGACACATTAAAACCAAAAAGTTGATGGAAAAACCATGAAAAATTATAAAAAAAAATTCTTTTTTTTTTGAAAATAATAAAATAAAACGTATAAGTTATGCGAATTAATGTTGTCAACATCAAAGGAAATCCAAATGTGGCTCCTAAATTTGGATTTCCTTTGATGTTTGTGTATTTCAAATACATATATATTGGCGCGGAACAGCTTCGTGGAAAAAAATAAAATAAAATAAAATGATATAAAATAAAATAACATAAAACAAAAAAAAATAATTAAAAAAAAAAATAAAATAAAATAAACTAAATTAAATTAAAATAAATTAAAATAAAATAAAATAAAAAAAAAAATAAAATAAAATAAAATAAAATTAAAAAAAATAAAATAAATAAAATAAAATAAAATAAAATAAAATAAAATAAAATAAAATAAAATAAAATAAAATAAAATAAAATAAAATAAAATAAAATAAAATAAAATGCATGAGCTATGCGAGTGGATGTTGTCAATTGTTGCACCATATTTTAAAGCTCACATAGTCATCAGTATTTCAAATATATATTTTAATTTTTTACCACATATTGAAAATGCATCTTTGATATATGCTTTGCGATCAAATTGCATAAAAAAAAATAGATCAATATGTACATACGAGCCAACAAAAAAAAATTGATTTTTTTTCGAAATTTATTATTTTTTAATAAAAGCCATGGAGGATATTTTTTATATTTGTTTCTATATGTTACGTCACACTTGAAATGTGCATCTGTCATTTTAATTATTTTATCTTTTTATTTAATTTAAATGAATAAAATTTCAATCAGATTAATTTTATTTTATTTATTTTTATTTATTTAAACTTACTTTGTTTTATTTTTATTTGCAACAAGTTAATAATTAATTCTCGCTGGGCGCATATTTATGCATAGTTATGTTCATACATAATTTATAGCACTCATAAAACTCCCACATCATTTTATTACAGAATTTCATAAGTCACAGATATGTATGTATGTACATATGTATTTGCAGTCCAAGCACATATTTTGCATAATTACACATTTCAACACATTAAGACAAATAAACAACATGAAAAAACGCTTTGAAGAGGAATCTCTTCAAAAGCAAGTCAAAGAAATATATATGAGGAGCCTCGATGTTTTCAAAGGATGAGCACTAATAAGCCTAAAATCGGAAAGGGGAAGACTCTGGCGGCTGATGCATGCGGTACGGCTTACGCCTTCTGTTGGCACAGCATACCAAATGCTACTACCAGGCAACACTGCACTAACAAAAGCAAAAAAGGCAAATGAAATTTTCTTTATTACATAAATATCTTCATGTATTTATGTGCACATGTTCGTATGTAAGTGCATTTAAATGCATTCAAGCGGGAAAGGAGATCTCGATATTCTTGTCGTTGTTGCTGGCGGCATTGGCTATTCGTGGCTGCCACATGCGTTGAACTTGAACTTGGGACACTGGCTGGCGGCGACTTGCCGCATCGAGCATAATAAACAATCGAAGATGGGACTGGCAATAAAAAAGCGCCGCAGAAAAATGGGATGTGAGATGCAATGAAGCGCTGCAGAGTTGTATTTACATTTTACGTGATATATAATATATTCCCGTAGACTGGGTTTTTATTGTATTTTTGTATATTATACTTTATTAAGGCAGCATTTTTTCATTCAACTCTTATTTTGTTTTTTTATAATTATTTTTATTCTACGTTACTACCAAATATTCTTTTTAAAAAGAGTGGAATCGAATATTATTATTATTCTTATTTTCTTATTTACTTTTACTTTTGATACATACATACTATGTAGTCACAGTTTCTGCAATTAATCATTAAATTAATTAATTGTTGTTCTTATGAAATTTTTTTAATTTTTGATTTTGATAATTTTTACTCAACGGATTTCAGACAAAAGATTTGTGAGTTGATGAGTAAATTTATAATTTCAATGCCGGGAGCTTTAACGATGTGTAGAACGGATCAAAGATGCGCACTGGGCGTGAAATTCACACTTCTCTAGATCCCTACAATGAATAAAATGTGCTTGTATCTAGAAGGTAGGCAGGTACATGTAGTGTCTTACGCTGCTGCTGCTCCGGTTTCAGTTGGAAGAACATTCTTACTAGCTAAATGGAAAACTCATAAAACAGATTTTACATCGCCAATAGTGAATGGTACTTCAATATTATTATTAAGATCGAAATCACACTACTTGGGATGAACTTTGAACAGGAAGCTCTCATGGAAACAATGCTTAGAAAAAAAGACAAAAAAGTCTGAAATAGCACTTTGCATCCGTTTGGTAGCTGCAATATTCCACATTCTAATATCACAACGAATTCCCGTTTCTACGCAGTTACCAGTATCTCTGTGGACTGAACCAAACTTGATAATCGAGCGGAAGGCGCTGTCAGCACCATTAATACCGGAATTTTTCTGCAGGGTTTCCGCGCAGATATTCCTGCAAAAACACTTTGGGGAGTACTTTTGCAGGGTAAGAAACAACAATCACTGGGCCAGCCAAAAAATTCTGGCAACAACAAAATAGAATAAAATGTCGTCAAAGATAATGGAAAATGTATTAATTTGCTAGTAAGACTAAACATCTTACTTCACAATGAGTATGAACGATGCTTTCTTTCTGTTTTCTTTACAATATCTCGAAGATTCCGCAAATTATTTAAAATTTTGAATCAATTAATGTTATCAAGATCAGAGCGTTCAGTTCAGTGAGGACCGGACATTTTCGGTTCTTTAGTCCCTTCAAAAGTCGTGACATCCACTTTATTTCGAATAAAGTTTTTTCATATTTTCAATAGAATTTAAATTTAATTTTTTTAAAGCAATAAACTCGTTTTGTATCCTTTTTATATTAATATTTGTTTTTGTGTAGTCATATATTTGTGAATAAATTTAATTAAACTTTTAATTATTTTATTATTTTTAAATACTTTTTATTCATCATTTCATTCTTTTTGATTTTGGCAGCTTTTTATCTACTCAATAGTAAATTAAAAAAAATTAACATACATTTCCATCTATACGGTTGTTGTAATTTTGGTACAATAATTTTTTATAAAGAATTAAAGAAAAAAGAAAATGAAGGATCATTTATATGGCAGAAATTCATTTCATTTTTCCTTTTTTTCCTTGGATATTTATTTTAATTTTAATATTTGATATATTATTATGTATATACATGAACATATGTATATCAGGTTAGATGCGAATTTTTTTTTTAACTCTATTGTATTTTAATAAGTTTGTATATATGTTTAATTTAATTATTCTCATACTTTAATAATTTTTATTGAATTGTTTAGTGTTCTAAAAAAGCAAATATTTTTATGTTATTTTTTTAGTAATTAATTATAAAAAACACATTTTATTTTTTAATATTTTTTTTAAATATATAAACTGATATTCTTTTAATTATTTATATATGTACATTCGTTGGTAAACATTTTTTATTGATTATTATTAATATTTTATTTCATTAATTTTAAAAAATTTTGTATATTTTTATATATAAATTTATTTTTCTTTATATCATTTTTTTGTTATTTTAGTTTTCTTATATAGCTTTTTGCACTCAAAACATAATTTTTTTATTTTTATTGAATTATTTTTTTTTTTTAATATTTTTTAGGATATATTTTTTTAATGCATTGACTTATTGCATTTTTGGTAGGGTTTTTATCAAATATTAATATTGAAAAAAGTATACTTCTCCAATTTCAATATTTTCCCGTATAATTTGATAGTTTTTTGCCGATTATTTAAATCCACACCGAAGGATTTTTTTGGAAACACATGAACAGTTCTTGGTTTGTGTTAAAGATTTTTAACATTTTCACAAATTAAACTGTTTTCGTTAATTTTATAAATTGTTAACGTTTAAAAAGGAGTTAGTTTTCAAGAAGGGTTGTACAACACATATTTTAAAATTAAAGGAAATTAATATTCATTTTTACGAAATATTTGTTTTATTGTATTTTTATTATTATTTTTAATTTTAAACAATTTTTATAATTTTTTCTGAAACGTTTAAAATTAAAAAAAAAAGATTATTAACAATGTGTATTTGTTTTACTTTACACTAATACACTTTTCTATTATTATTGTTTCACTATTTCAGCCAAATTGTTATTATTGTATATACAATAATTATACACATTCAAATCACACTTATTTTCTTTATAATAAAACATTTATTTTAATTTACTCAAAGCATAATATTTATAAGCCAAACATTCACACGCTTTATCTTAAATAAAAAAGCGCACATTTGCATTTAAATAAAAGCATTTCTCAAAACAATGCTAATCTGAATAACTCACACACACACAAAAGCACTTCTTCAGTAAAATATTCACACGCTTTACATATTCCAAAACGAACAAATGGCTTTAGCGTACGCTTCAATGCAAAACGCCACGAAAATGCAAACCGGCAAACCACCGACGTACAGGCCAACGACGCCGAAAACGCATACGAATTATAGCTAAAGTCGCGATCGACTGACTGACTGGAAATCACCGACAATTTCGCAAAGTTGCCAACATCTAACGTGGCTCCAGCGATAGCGCCAATGCTAAAACACTCAAGCAACTTCAGCGAGCCGGTTAGCGCCAAGTACAATACATAAAACTTACCACCACAGCGCGACTATTGCGATCGTGTTGAGTAAGGTTGAGGCTTCACTCGAACACTTGTGGGTAGTCGATTGACAACCAAAGTGTTTGGAAACACACTCATTTCGCTCACTCACTCACTCAATGTGCTCACCTTATCTCTACTACACACAACCGCAGGAATGCCTATCATCGGTTTGTTTACTCGCTTATCTGTAACGAAAGCGAAATTGTGTAAAAAATGCCGGTATTGAGTAGGAGAAGCAAATGTGTTTGTAGCGAGTCTCTTCAGCTGACCACTTAGCTTGAGTTTGGTAAGCAGCGAGTACACTGCGAGAATTGCAATCCTTGGTTCTCTCGAAAGTCAATTTTGAAATCTTTTTACCATTGTTAAGCTCCGCACAAGCGTTTTTCGGAATGGTTGATGGATTCTTTTGACGAACATATTAATGCAGAAATCACACTCGGGATCCATACTTTAAGCTAAGAGATCGTCGGAAGCACAATTTTCATTTTTCATTTCTTCATTATTACGCCCTACGGTCTTTTTCTTCTACTTCTCCTTAAGCTAGCTTAACTCTCTTGGTGCACAATGGTAAACATTCAGTTACGGATACTTAACTCGATAAATCTAGGAAATGCCTTGACTATTTCTCAGAACTTAAAAAAAAATCCCTCAAAATCACTAGCTTAGAAAATCCTTAGAAACATTCTTAAAATGATTGTTGAATCAACAAAGTACACTTGAAGCAATAATTTCACTCACTTATTCACAGCCTTTGACTCAATGCATGGTGAACTCACTTCTGATATTGAGTGCTTCCGACTGTGGTGAAAACTCGCACCTACAGCAGAATCGCATTCGAGTTGAAGTAGCCACATGAACACACATATTTACACAAAATGTTTGGGTCTCCGTTTATTTGCACATGTTGCATGCCACATTTGTTTGTAGACAATAAAACAAACAAGTGATAAAACAGTAAACACATATATACATACATATGTGTGTATGTATAGAAGAACCACAAAAACCATATGGTGAGTTTTTGTCAGCGATCTCGAATGATCGTGTGAGTTGATATTCAAATATACAACAAAAATGATCGGTGGATAAGTATGTTGGTAGATACATAGTATATATGTATGCATGTGTGAAAATGTCACATTCTTATTTTTAAAGGAGCCCAAAGAAGTGATCAAAATATTGTACCGGAGGTCACAATCAGTCCACATTTATTTACTCTAAAATCCGTTTGGACATTTCTTATTACATTTTATTGGTTGATAAATAATTGTTTATTCTATTCGGTAGTCTCTTCTAGGCATGGGAGTACAGTAAAGTCTTGATATAAGGGATACGCGCCAAAGGAGTACTTGCCGGTGCAGAAAGCACTAGTTAAATGTTGCTGTTGTAGCCGCAAAAATATTACCGAAAGCACTTTTTAGGGAATGTTGCGGGAGTGATGGTCATTATCTTCTGACTAGTACAATACAATATATCACAACCTTTGCCGTTTGGGGTTTTCGAAATATATGTATAAACTTCTTCGTAAACCCGTGATTTGGGTATTCTGGAACTGGCAATTAAAATAAAATAAAAATAATAGAAAGGTGGTGCTACTTAGCTGGTTGATGTCTTCGTAAGACGAAATTCAGGTAAAAGACAAATAGGAGTAAGTAATTGTAACATATAGCACAGCCACCGAATAAGAGCATAAGTAAAATTCCGTTACATCTAATAGCCGGTGACGTCGCGGCGAAAGAACGTACACACCTATGAGTATTTCCACCTCCATGCACTTTTAACGCCAGGGTGAACACACTTTCAAATGAATTAAGACTGACCGACTTTGTTGAGGCAAAAATATGATTACCACCAACACACTTGGCTGTATCGAAGTCGAAAAACACGAAACCAATAGTTTCAAAAAGGTTTCAAGTCCGGAGTATACTCTTGTACAAGCCAAAGATCCTCTGGGAACACATCTTCAGCTTGGGGAATGACAATGAAAATTAAACTTCAGGAAATGGCGACGCATCACTAAAAAACAGAAAGCCCAAGATTTACGATTCAAATATAGCGGCGAAGAACTTTTTTCCAAAAGAAGATGAACGTCAGACGGCAGCATTAAAAGCTCCGTCTGAATAGGAAAATATCTCTAAGAGCACTTATACTAAACGTATTAGAGAAATTGAATATTTCACACAGGACATCATAAATGGAAGGCTGAAGACAAGTTCGAGCTGCTTTGACTTTACCAATATGTGTTCTCTATACTGGATAAGGAAGCGAACTGAAAGGGTAGTTACGAAAAGACAGCGGATACACTAACTGGAACTTGTCGAGCCGGGCTCGATGAAAACACTCCGACTTTAAGAGAACCAGGACATATTGATAGAAAGAGGAAGACTGCGCTCGCTATGTTGAACCGCATCGCTTAAGGCGAGTGAACGCCAATTACAAATACATTATAACAGATAATATAGTCCTACTCCCTCTGGGAAGAAGGTGATTTTATTCCCTTAATCCGTTCGGAAGGCTCGGGTTCAAATCCCGGTGCCCACAACATCCAAAAGTTGTGGAAAATTAATTTAAATAAAAACTTAAGCTAAGTTTTCTAATTGTGGTCGCTCTCGGCAGGGAATGTCCACCACTCCGAGTGTATTTCGGACATGAAATAAAGACTCCTCGTAAAAAAACCATCAGCCGTTCGGTGGCGGCTTAGCATAAACTGTAGGTCTTTCCAGTTGTTGGAGAAGCATCAAGTCACAAAACCACAAATTGGAGGAGGAGCTCGACCGAAAAATCGCTTCAGCGGTTTCAAAGCGCCGATATCAATCGCCTAACAAACCATTGCCGAGCGTTTGGCTTTAATCTGTAAATCTCCGGTGCCATGAATAGGTGATGCTTGTCGTTATGGCGTTCAAGAAGTACAACCAGGAAGGAAAATGGCAGAAAGAAGGTAGTTTGCCGAAACCCAACCATAATTTGTCCTCTAAAGCGGCCGCCTTAGTTTTTTTTTTACGACGAACCCAGCGTTACCCACCTCCCGCTCAACCGACCGAGGGGCGCGTCTGATAGAAATTGAAAAATCAAACAGACCGGTGACCGAAAACCAGTAACAGTCCGGACTGCCGAACCCGAAAACGATCGCGGAAGGTCACGGTTACACTTGCCTCTTACACTAAAAAGCTACAGATTTGTTCATCAGCTGCTATAATAGATAGAATAGATTTAAATATTTAAAGCACACAGTAAGTAAATTTTGATACAGAAAACCGAGTCAGAGGAATCAATGTTGGGGAAATGTGTATTTAGCTCGTTAATCAAAGATCTGAAAGGGTAGTGCATTTCAAAATTTGTTCTGCACGAACCCAATGAAAGGGGCTTAAAGTGTCCAGATGATCTTAACGAGATGGTAAAATTAAGCTCGCTAATTAGGAAAGGGCTATTGATAGCACCTCTTATCAATTTAGTTAAAAATAAAACTCCAAGCATCTTTCTACGACTATGGAGTGTAGGCAGATTGATGAGCCGTAAACGACTTATGTAAGAAGGCAGGCCTTGTTCGCATCCCAGTCTAAATTTCTTTACGCGAATAATAGGAGTTGAGTGATGATCTCCCGCCTTTTACCATACTGGAGATGCCCATATCTGGAAATCGAGATTACAGATTCGAAAACTGGCAAACTATGAGTTAACGCATGAGATTGGACACCCTTCGGTAGTTGAGGCTTGGAAGCGTGCAAATTTCTATGCCAAAATACTAGCATATGACTCAGAAAAAAAGTTGAACTGATCAACATAAAGACCGGAGTCATGCGAGAAGAGTGGGCTTGCAGACTTGCAGAAATCAAAAAGTCTTCTTACGTATTTGTGAAGCACCTTGTTTGAAGACACCAACTGCACCCAGCTTAAAATTTGTTTAACCCCCATAAACTGTGGTTACCGTAACATCCGCCTAGAGCTCACATAACGCATTTGATCAGCACAAGTACATATTCCGAGGTATTCTATTCTTTTCTCACTGAGATATTGTTTATAACTCAAGGATTGAGAATCGCGTTCAATGATTGCCATAGTGAATATTACAATAAAATCAGCAGTGAGTTTCGAGATAAAATCGCTAATTTTAAGAAGCAAATTGAACAGCTATTCTACTTCAGCCTAGATAGAACTCGATGTTGAGAAGAGCTTCTATAAAATTATTTTCTTTTTATCCAGTACCGCAGCACCTGGAGTGCCGGGTCTAACAGTCGTCAAAAGAAAATAGCCTGAAAGAAGCTTATGTAAAACTAAGTCATTTTATGAGCGAATATATAAATGCATAAAGGTATACATATACATATGCACATATAGATATGCACATAACTATCACTTTCAATATCATATAACGGCATCTATTAATTTACTCAAACCTTAAAAAATTGTATAATAAATTATGTTTGGAGCCGAAAAAAAAATGTGTTAAGCCAAAATCGAACTGAATTCGACAGCAACACCACCAACACCAGCAGCAGCAGCAGTAGCAGCGGCAAAAGTCATCAGCCAACGGCTATAAATTATCACCTCTGATCCCATTGATTTGCATAAATTCGAAATGTTAAGTAACGATTTTTCACGCTTTTAGGCAAAATGCAACTAACTGTGCATACAAAGCTTTTAGCTTTTCTTTTAATCATTTTTCATGCGCCTCTAACTGCTGCCTATTAAGTATGGGCCATGCGTACGTACATATGTACATATGTACATTCATGTACATGTAAGTATACTCGTATATTGAAGCGTACTGTATGTATGTGTAACACGCAGCATACAGTTGAAGATATGGAATATGCATTTAAATATAATAGTTTCACCTATGAATCTGTCTGCTC